TTTAATAGGTAAACGTCCATATCCTAACTATAGATTCCGCTGCGTTAGGATTTATTTCGATAAAGTTCAATACTGTGCATGTTGTTTGACGTTCCTAACAGAACCCAACAGGCTTACCATTTGAAGACTCAACCTCGACCACGTCCCACACGGGACCCATATTATGGCATAAATATACCTTCATCACTGGAGGCTCTTCATCAAAAATGGGCGGACCATCGTACAATGACCCATCATCTTGCTCTCCGTCGAATTTGAGGATGTCCACACGAAACGCACTCTCCCAACACCGTTCGCCGCGCGGGTCGTCGTCTCCACGAGGTTGATCACGCCCAAACGGGTTATACTCCTCCTCCGTAGCATCCGAGTCGCCGCCCTCCTCCTCGTACGGCGCACGTCGGCCACCACCAAAACGCGCGTGACCGCGACCCCCACGGCCACCACGCTGCCACCGCGACTGCCGTCCCGATGATCGGGCCCGTCACGGTTCGTCTGCTCGCGTCGCATCAAGGTGTGGAGAGCCTCACGAATATCCTCCATGTCCGCCGTGAGGTCCGCCAAATCGCGGCCCATCGACTCGTGCTGGCGAGTGAGGGCTGCGATCGCCGCATCCCGTCTGTCGTCGGTCGAATCGTTCCTCTTTTGCGGCATCGTGGATCGTAGCTAACTCTGGATACCAACTGATGTAGCGCAGCGATAAACGAAAGGAGAATAAGATGTAAAATCTTAAAATACGATAAGTTTATTCAAAGATCGCCAATCGACTTGAAGGGAGAATGACACAATATATAGAGTTCAAGTCTAAATCCCTATCTTGCTAAACAAGTAAATACCAAATAAATAAATATTCTCCTACCAACTAAAAAAAAGAAAATAATAATAAAATATTATAATAAAAATACTACTACTAATAATAATAATAATAACAATAATAATAATCATAATTATTATTCTGCACTATTTTCTCCTCGAGCCTTTCTTCTTGAGGTTGTGTACCACACCTTTTTAGTTGCCGTCACGTGCAGCTCTCTGGTTACATCTTTCTTTGAATGATACTATTTTTCTAATTTTATTATTAATTTTCTTAAATTTTTATTAAACAATTATAACATTACAAAAATAATTACTTTATTTTTCATTTTATAATTATAAAATTATAAAAATAAATATTTCATGAATAATATAGTTACGTCATGAATAAAACTATTTTTTTTTTTAATTTTTTGATAATTTAATATTATAGTCAACTTTTTTAGTATAATTTTTATTACACAATTATAAAATTACAAACAAATAATATATATATTTAGAATGGGAATATCCGATAATAAATTAATTCAACAAATGAGTTGTGCTTTAAATTTTTACAAATATTCATCCTTTTTCAACTAAGTAATCTATTAAAAAGAATAAATATAAGAAAAAATTTGTAAAGAATTCTGTGATAGTTCTAAATTTAGTTTTGGTCATCCCAAATGGCACGAGCAAAATAAAAAAGAGAAAAAAAAATTTAACTAAATTTTTTATTTACCTGTACAAGTGAATATTTTTGCGTTCGATTTTTTTTTTCGACAAAAATGGGATGAGTTGTGAAAACCAGACATCCAAAACTACGGATACTGTTAAAAAGAATAATTCTAAGGAAAATTTTAGATGCACTGTACTATTGTTGAAATGTATTATCGAATATTCACATTTCCAATTATTTATTTGTTATTTTATAATCATTTAATTAAAAATATAGTAAAAAATATTAACTTTAATTATCTCATGAGTAAAACTATTTTTTTTTTTTAATTTTATCATAATTTAATATTAAAAGAAGCTAAATGAATACCTATTAAATTTTATTTTTCTGTTCTGTTCGATTTGGCTTGTGGGACTATCGAAAAGTTCGGTTCAGATCGGATCTTCGGAGATTTCTTATTATTTTTTAAATTTTATTGAATGATTAACTAGTTATATTTTAATTTTTATATGCTTTAAAATAACAGCATTCATCAATACTTCATCATATTGAAGATTTTATTTTGAAATCAACTTCAGAAGTAACTCTAAGTTTTATTTAATTAATTTGTATATGCTTTAAATAATCCAACACATTGTTAATAACAATCTATATCTATACATAACAATTTATTTAAGAGCTCTGCGGCTCCCCCTTTCTCTCGCTCTCGTCTGCTCTGCTCGTCGTCCCCTCTCCGCCAGTTTGTGCCTCTTTCAGTGGTCGTCCGAGTTCGCCGGCGGACGGCTCCCCTACTGCGCATCCCAATTGGGTCAGCAGCAACTCATATTCCAAGTTCCCAGCCAAAGGGGCGGGCTAGGGTTTCGACAGATTCCTTGTTCTGTGCGATGGCCGTCGGGGTTCTAAAGCTTGGGGTTCGGAGGGTGCGTCGTCATCCCTTGGTCGTGGCTTGGTTACTCATTTCAACCCAGGTATGGTCGATTCTTTCTAGTATGTCCATGGTGTTTGTCCTAGTCTCGCTTTTTCTGTTTTTGTCGGAGCTCTCTTTCATTTCGGCGTTGTGGGGTGGTTGCGGCGGGGTTAGGCCCTGTGTGCTGGGTTGGGAGATTATTGACTGTTGGGTTGTGTTGAAGTGGCTTGGCCTAGATGCCATTCGAACCCTTCCTCCTTTTGTGCTCTTTCGGATCATGAGGGAGGCCGACCGTGTGCGAAATTGGCTAGTGGTGTTAGGCATTTTCAGGATGGTGATGGATTTGGCTAGTGGTGTTAGCCGATTGGGGGTCGATTGTGGTTTCTCGCGGTTGGAGAGCGGGTTGATTTTTTGGATTGTTTTGCGGTTTGGGTATCCGACTTTGCTAGGCTTTAGGCAGTGGCGGGCGGAGTTTCGTGTGCTGTGGATCTTTCCTCGAAGTCGGCTTTGTCTGCTGTCCATTCTCGGACGTCTCTACTGAAGGAGGGCTACTTTTTTTTTCGTAGTTATTTTGTATTTTTTGTTTTGTCTTGTGTTGTTTGTCTTTGTCTAGGATCAGTGTTTTTGGTTTGGGCCTTTGGCCCCTGTGAGCCCGAGTGTCAACTTATCATCCGGTTGGGATGTGATGCTCGGGTATTATCCCGTTGGGCTCTTTTTAGGTTTAGTTAATTTCTGTAGTTGGTTGTTGTGTAGTTGTTGTGTAGTTGTGAGTTTTCTTATTCTAACTTTGCTAGCGTCTGGATTATAGGCGGTTTTCTGACCTGTCCTCCCACTTTTTCAGTCGTTGGTTGCTGTGTATTCAGTCATTGACTGCTGCTGTGTATTCACACATTTGTGCCTTTTGTTTTATAATATAGTCTATC